TCGAATCAGGACAAAATTTAGCGCTATGCTAAGCAATCGTAAGTGGACTTATATAGAAGTCGCACCTATTTTGAGGCCGGTCAATAGCAATCTATGCACCATTTTTTTTGAGACATGATATAGAGATCATGCTCCAATAGCACTTAGTGTAATAAGAAAGGAATGAGATGAAGAGAGGTGGGAAAGAATATACAAATCACATTTGAATTTAAAATTTAATCAAACTATTATTAAAATCATTCATCCATTTTTTTGTGGAGTTAAACTCAACACCATGGATCCAATGATGTTAATAAAGTTCATGATAAAAAATTCAAACCAAGATTATCCAGAAAATAATCACAAAATAATATTGCATTTTAAAATATATATTAAAGGGTTTTAGAAATATTTAAAATAGAAATAAGGGATAAAAATATCAACTATGTTCAAATTAATCAAGAAATAAAAAGTAAGACCATAGAAAAATCAAAAATGAACTCAAATATTTTTATAAAGTTTTTGGTAATTTTTTAAAATCAGAAACTATTTTTAAAATTAAAGAAAATGAGTAAAATAAACCAAAAATGATAAAAAATACTAAAGTCAGAAATAAAAAATAAGTGAGGTCACCAATATTTGTCACAATATCATTGGATCATTCCATATTTTTTATCAGAATTTAAAAATGCATAAAAGTATTTTTAAACATTTAAAACAAATCAAATAAAGTGAAAATTTATAAAAGAAATACCAAAACACAAAATAAAATTGTGGAAAAATAAAAATCAGAAAGAGAAAAATAAAAAAAATCATAATTTTTTCAGATTTTTTGGACTAAAAATGAATTTTCTATGTTTTTTTGAAATTTAAAACAACTAAATATAAAAATCAGAAAAGAAAAGAAAAATCAAAAAAATATGGGTCATCTGACCAATGTCAAAACGCGTTAGTAAACAGATCAAGTGGACCTGGCGCGCTGTGCATGTTATAGACTTTAGTGGATAATGCATTGAATCATTAATTAAATCAGATTTCAAAAAATACAAGTGGCGTGCCATCATTGGTTGGAAGATGGCACGTTGGTCATCTTCAACCTCCAGCCAACGTGAATTGCAGGTCTCTCAAACTGTAAAATCAGAAGCTCGGGCCTTTGTCATTCGCTTCGTCTCTTCGAGACGAAGACAACCACACCTTCGCGACAAATTTATATAAACTGTAGCTCAAGCAAATTGGAAGGAAAGTTTTGAAAAGGGATTTGAAATTTCATGGTCAAAACAAGTTTCCAGATGAAAGTAAGTGTTACGACTAGAACCAGGGCAATGAGAGCATCACAATCATATCAAAGTTTTGAAGAATTGATGAAGGAATCTACCTATTGAAGTTTAGTTGCAGAGCTCTGAAACTGGACTATTATGGAGCAATCTAAGGCACGATTCTTGAATGTAATTATATGGTTAGCATCCGGGAAGATCAAGGAAGGTGAATTGATGGAAAAATTGGATTGAAAAAGGCTTGAAAGCAGATTTCAAAATAGCTGAATTTTGAGTTATGGAATAAGTTTGGCAGGGTGATTCTGGCTATCCAAGCTTAAGGAAATGAATGGGGGATGACCTTCTATTTATAGGGAATCAAATGGAATGTCCAAGCGTGTGAAATGATGAAGTTTGGAGGGAAATCGTGTGAAGTTGCAAACAAGAAAAGTGTGACTTCCAATTTGATCAAAACTCATTCGAAACAAGCTTTTTGTTGTGCTAATAAATTCTAGAACTTCACTAAACATGTTTAGAGACAAAAACGCGTGGAAAATGTGATTAGAAGCCAAAACAAAGATTTTAAATTCTGACTTATGGAGAAACTTCAGTTCCAAGTTACCAAGTTCAATCCAATGGCATTCTCAACTCAAGGGGTCTTAGGGCATGATTCTTGATGCTTTAGAAAGATGAGGTTTCAAACTTTGCAATGGAAAAAGAATGGAATCAAATGGTTGCTTGAGCTGAAAGTTGCATTGAGTCAAAGTTGGGGGAAAAAGGTTGACTTTCCATACTTAGAAATATTTCAAGTTTTTCTTCAAAAGTGACCTATAATATTTTGCATCCAAACATGGCCTTCCTCTTGGAATTTGCTCTTGACCAAAAATGATGGCATGAAATATACCTTTTGAATGACATTTTGAAACTTGAACCAGTCAAAATCTCCAAAAATTGAGAGAGTTATGGATTGTTGAAGTTGGCAAAAAAATCATGAAATGACCTATAATATTTTGTATCCTTAGAGCATCTTCCATCCATTTTCTAACTTTGTACATAAAATAAGGAATAAAGTTCACATCCTCAAGATCATTGTGGAAAAAGAGTTGGCTCAAGGTGATAAAAATTGACCAAGTTATGATCATTTGAAGTCACACATAGGAAAATAAGGGTTCATCTGGAGGACTTGTAATCTTTCTTCATCATCAAGTTTCTTCCACATGAAAACTCCTTGAAACTTTTGAAGTGATTTGTTAATAACCATTTGAAGAGAAGGATTTCTTTGGAATCACTCAAAAATACCAAAAGATTAGCAAGATATGCTTCTTTGAAGTTCAAAACCCTAGCTCTTAGATCAAGAAAAATGCCTTGAGGAACTTTGATAATTTTGAACAACCTTCTTGTACCAACACTCTTGCTTTGTAAATAGAAGTTATTGAAGATGATAATGAGGACTCATAGCCACCAAAACCACTTCCATATTTTGAGAGTTGAGATAAATATGCACTTGTGATCAATGGGAACAAGACCTTGTCTAACCATGACAACTTCTTCAATCAATCCCATGCACTTTTGAATCAATTTTGATATCTTGGAAATGTGGTGAACCAAAATAACCTTGCCATGCCATTTCCTCCAAAACAAATCCAACGGTGAGGTTTGAACTTCTCAAGCTTTATTGACTAGGGCATGGAAATAAACTCATGAATCCATGAAGCCACTTGCTGAATCTCATTGCCTTTACCTACATGAGTAACAAGCAAGACAAACCAACATTGCATTTTATTAATTAAAAGAAGAAATCAAGACAAAAATATTCATGATCACAAAAGAACACAAGTCAATGTGCTTGGTGATTGATTCCTCAAAGAGCAAAGCTAAATATAGGGAGAAGAATCACAAGCTCTAATGTGATCTTGTTGTGATTGAATCAATATGGTATGATGAAGGGATCTTAGAGGCAAAAATTGGGGTACAACAGAGATCAGCTCGTAATTATGCTGAGGATGGTGAGTGTCGTCGCGTGGTTGGGACCGTGTGGAGGAAGATGCGATCGTCCCGTCCCGGAGGTCTTGCTCGGGGGCGGCAATGTTGTTGTTGTTGTTGTCCGCGTCGGCAAAATGATCGTTTTGGTCATTGTTAAAAGCTTGGTCGGCCATGACAACCTGAAGTTAAAGGTGTTGCTTTGGTCTTACGCGAATGAAAGATGGGGAAGCCAAATTCCCACAGTCGGCGCCATTGATCATACCTGATCAGAAGATATTATCAAGGCCCACGAGCTTCAAGTCGAGTTGTGGTTGAGTGAAGTGAGGGGGGTACCTGCAAGACACTCTGATGCCAAAGTAAGGTTCAGAGTAAGTGCAAGTAGAATATGAGAGTATATGTGGGTTAATCAATACCTGACTCTCTCAAGTGAGAGGGTATTTATAGCCCCCAAGGCTGGGGCAAGGTCTCCATGTTAGGCTGACCAAGCAGGCCCAATATAGAAACTACCAGGTCCTACATGTGTAGTGGAGGCCAGCACGTGGTCTCCAACCTGAATGGACGCCTCTGAATTATTAGGAGGACATGTATGTGGTCTTTTCTGAATCAAGAGAACTTCGTGATATTCTGAGGCATTGGATGTCTGTCCTATGAGGAGGGTGCTCGCGAGGACCTCCTGAGTATTGTTGGTCCTCCTCGCCGGTCAGGTGGTGAGATCGTCCCCGGAGGACATATCCTATTCGACGAGAGGAGTGGAATCACTGCCCGACATAGTCAAAGGCAGACTCTCTCCTACAGGTCTTCTCCTGTCGTCTAGCTGGATTGAGCCTTGTATGACATTTGGACCAAGTGCAGGCCCAACCCAGAACAATATGTAATGTGTATATGTCTTTGAACAATATTTTCGCATGTTTTAATAGTTGGGACTAATAATCTATTAAGCACAGAGACCGAGGTACAACACAACGCTGACACCGATAATTTCAAAAACATAAAACACTCTAGCACCGATAATCTCCAAAACATAAAACACGTTACATATAAGATATTATTTGATCTTCATTTGTCCATCTATTATTATAAAAGATTAATATTTTAATCAAAATTAATGCATTCAATTCTTCATTGATAATATTGATTTCTTCGCATATCCCCCTCTCCCCTTTTATATTTGTATGAGATTTGTCCAAAAAATGAAGACACTTATCTCATTTTTCCAACACTTATCGGACACTAACACATGTCGGACTCAGACAGACACCGTAACACGCTGCTCCTAGAGTGTTCTGCTTCGTAGCTAACAATAAAAAAAATTTGGAGAGGATTTTAATGGAGGGAATCTACACTCCTACAAAACACACTCTACTCTTTTTTTTTTTAAAGGCGCAGAGAATTTAATCACAAACACTCAGGCATGAGACATGCCAATGTTCCATACAAAATATTTAACATTGCAACGAGACAGAGACCAAATAATGCATAAGACTTAGCAGCGACTCCAGACAATTTTAAACCTCTTTACAAGACCAACCCATTACAACTGCATTTTGAAGACAACTGTAATCATTAATAAATTATACTTAACCTTGATTTTCAAGTAGAAATTTGAGCAATCAAGAATGAAATATATAATTCTGCAATCAAGAATGTATAAATCATATTAGACACAGAAAATGTATCAACTTCCATTGAGTAAAAGTAACAGAAATACATAACAGAGAACAAGATTCAACCCAAACATCTATTAAATCAAGTTCTCAAAATCAAAACAACCCTAATTATTAGGGTCTAATAGTATGAAATTCTTCCTGTTCTTCTCGGTGTGGCTCCAATCTTCTTCTCGCCACCAACAGCAGATTTATCCAATCTTGAAGCTAGAGGAGGTTTCTTACTATTCTCCTTAGTCCTGCTTCTAAGCAAGTACCTTGGAGTTTCACTAACCTCAGCAGAATAAGCAGCAGAAACCGATTTTCTAAGACTTCCAAGTTTTCTCGCAGCAGTATTCTTTTTCCCCGATTCAACATTAACACCTAGAGCACGATGCAGAGGAACCTTAGGCGGTTTAATACTAGTAGTATTAACTTCATTCACATTCACAGCCATTCCTAGTTTTCTCTTGAGCCTTTCGTTCCTTCTTGCAGAATATTCATCATACAATCTTCCTCTCTGAAATAAAACACCTGATTTAGGGTTGCAAGAATTGGTGAAAGCAATATCTTCCAGTTCCGAATCTGGTTTTCCGAATTGATCGCTAATCATCCTTACTAAAGCCTTAAATTCACAAGCAATTGTGCGGTATTCCGGTCGTAATTGTTCGGGAGATCGAACTGGTTTTTGAGATTTCAATAAAGAACCTGTTACAATTACAATCAAAAATCGATTATAAATAAAAATTCAGAAATCAAGATCTAGATGTTGAAGAGACTGAAAAGGTACCTGGTGGAGTTTGAAGAGAGGCGGCGTCGGGAATTGTTCGAGTTTTTCCGATACGAGTAGGAGATTTCGGTACCGCACACGGTGGCCGGAGGCGCGATTTCATGGTTGATGAAGATTTGTACATCGCTGCGGTGAAATGAATACACTATCAGTGAAAATTGTGGTGTGGGTTTTTATTTGATTTGAACAAGAGGAGCGAGGGTTTTGAGTTAAACAGATATAGAAGAGATCGGCTATAACGGTCAAATGTTTGATCCGACGGCTCAGGTTTGTAGATTAGATACAGTGGGTTTGTCATTATTACAATCGGATTTTTCCTACTTTATTTGCCTTTTGTTCTCGTTCTTATCTTTTCTAGTAATATTGGACCGCTTTGAAAGCTTTAGCAAATACTACCTCTCCATTTCTTTTTCTATTATATTTTTTTTTTAACATACCACACCAAATTTTAAAAATTCTTTTAAAAATAAAAAATATATTTCTAATACGCATTTTTGAGATACATTCTATTTTTAGGATAAAATTTATTTCAAAAATATACTTCTAAAAATTATACAACTTATTATTTCCGGTAATGCAACTTATTACTTCTGATAATACAACTTGAAAGGTCACAAGTCATAACTTATTATTATGTTCTTTCTTTCATTTCCAATTTTATTGGTAAATTGTATATTTTAAATTTAAATCATCTTTATACTTTATTGATCAGTTGTTTTTATATGGAGAGAGGCAAATGTCTATGATCACAAAAACTGCATTAAAAACAACTAATAAGTTTTAAGTAACATTATCAGAAATGAAATTTGATCGTACCTGATCAGAAGGGGTCGTCAAGGCTCACGAACTTCAAGTTGAACAATGCTTGAATGTGGAGTATAGGATACCTGCAAGATACTCTGATGCCAAAATAAGAGTATAGACAATCAGAGTGCAAGTAACAGAAGTGAGGTAGAATAAATGAATGAATGAATACCTAATCCTCTCGAGTGAGAGGGTTTATATAGCCCCCAACGATGGGCCAAAGTCTTTAGTGTTGAGCCACGATGAGGCCCAATAATAAAGATTGTCATGGTTTACAAGTGTATAGAGTCCAGCATGTGGCCTCCTCCCTGGTCAACTGCTCCTAGAAAGTAGGGAAGTTGGACGTAATCTTCTCGAAGGCTAGATGATGACGTTGTGGACACGTGGGTCATGCTCTTCTAGTGGACTTGGCGAAATGTCCAACGGTCCTCATTTTGGGCTGCATGTTTTTGGGCTTTTGTAAAGACGCTGGATTGGGCCTCCCCAACGGTGGGGTAAGTGTCGGCCCAGTCCAGAACAGGAGTCCCCCAAGTTATTTCCCTTAGAAGAAAGGGTGATAACTTGAGATCAGTTCGAGTGCCAGGGAAGTTTTGCCCAAGAAGGAAACTATCAATTCCCGTCGGGGACAACTACGCGATTTATGTCGAGGAGGACTCAGGAATTTACGCGTGGTGTGGTCGACCAGCTCTGGGAGAATTTCATTGGTCAACTTTGTCCTTCGCTCGTATTAATATGGTGCCCATTAGGAATCTACACTTGCGGGGAGGTGAAGAGCTTTCTCGGGCGCGCGTCTTCGATGTGCCCGTATGTAAGGCGTTGTAATGATGCCGAGCATTCATTTTCCAACAAGGATGGAACAACGTAGGCGCGTGATTTTGCGTGTGAGACTGTTGTCAGTGATGTGTCCTTTCGCGAGCCCCACGTGGCAGCTGTTTGGAGTGCCATCATTACCTAGGGCAGTCTAAGAGCCGAAGTAATGATGAATTTTTACATGCTACCTCGTGTGATGGGGACTATCTGTAAAAAGGGGAATCAAATATTCTCATGACATTTTCAAGCTCTCTCTTCCTATTTCTCTTGTGTTCGCCTGTTATCTTGTTGCTCCAACACCGTCGTAGACGCCTTCACGTTCATCTCATCCAAGTAAGTAATTTCATCTTTAAGCGTGATTTTTCTTAAGTTTTCAGATCAAACGCGTGAATCTTGCTATGAATGGATGAATCTCAGGATAAAATTCATGGATTCAAGATAAATACTCATGGACTCTGGGATGAAGATTCATGAACATCATCTGGGTTCATGAATATGGATGAGATTCAATAGCTCTTAGTGAGTTTCATTTTGACATGCGTCGAGGTCATCCTCTCTTTGGAACGGGGAGGATTTGGGCAGGTTTCCCTTTCGACGAAATTTCCCCGCGTGAGGGTGTAGATATCTTCGCGTTCGCTATCAAGGGCTTAGATCGAGGACCACTCCTCGACGCGCTCATCGCCCTTTCACTTGATTTGCGGTGGAAGGGTGAATTTGATAATGTCGAATTCACTGTTTTCCCCTGCTTTTCAAGTACGATGGCACAACCAGTCGAGGAAAATATCGTACCCGACACAGATGGGGGCAAAGTTAAGGTCACGGTCGACCCCCTGGCTTGGGTTGTGCCCGAAACCCGGAAAAAAGGATCATGTTTTGTGAAGGATGCTTTCGACGCGTTTAATGTCCCCGAGGACAGAGAAGAAGAATCCCCTGCCAACTGGGCGCTCAAAATCCCCCACCAAAGTCAGAGGATATGCTCGTATTTCCCGAGAAAATGCTTTTATGTGTATGAATTTTATTTTAAGGAAGCAAGGATGTGTTTTCCCTTCAATGATTTCTAGGTGGGGGGTTTTTCAATGGCTACAACTGACGCCTTCTCAGCTTCATCCAAACGCGCTCACGTTCAGGCGGGCATTTGAGCGCATCTGTCAGTACCTTCAGATTAGTGCCACTCTGACTCTTTTCTTTCATATCTTTTACCTCCAATGGCAGACCATTTGACGGGCGGAAGGCATGGGTGTCGTTTAAGCAATCCGGGAAACTCTTTCGACCATACATGGAATCTGTATGAAACTTCAAAGAAAGGTATTTCATCGTGAAACCCCTTACTGATGCGGTTGTGGATTCTTTGTATAACTACTCAGAAGAGGTCGAGGATGGTCAGATAGTGGCTCGACTAACATAGAAGTTTCCTCTTGAGTGGTAATGGAAACATTTTAAGCAGAAGCCCGAGTGTTATCTGGTGAAGCCCGAGGACTTAGATGCCCAGTGAAACAACCGACTGAAAATCATCAAAAAATGAAGTCGCCATCTAACGTATTTTATCCCACGTGAAGGGAAAGGTAAACATCGAGAAAACCTGAGAAGATAGAAGTCACGGTCTTGTGACCGAGAGATCGGGTAAGGGAGTTTGTTACGCGAGGGGAAGGTATTAACACACCACACGCCCGTAGTACTCTACGGTATCCACTCTTGTTGTCTATATTATGGGTGTGTTTCAAATCTATATCTAAGTTGTACAGGGAATGCATGCAAAAGGAAAGGAGAAAAAATTTAGGGAAAATAAAGTTGTACTCGCTTGGGCCCTACCCCAATGCCTACTCCTTTTTGAGGAATCAGAGCTACCGTAGTTCGGCTAACATGTTTTTGTTTGTTTCATGTTTTTTATGGACAATGTTAATTCTGCCTTCTTCCGTAGTTCGACCTTTTGAGACTCACACGTTGGCACAAAAGCAAATTAATCATGTCCTTACCTGAAAAGGGTTTTTAGAGAAAATGTGCTTGAGCGCACAAAAAAGGTTTGAGTTGGTTTGTATTTTGTTACCTTGGAAAAGGGTTTAGGTATGATTAGTATGTTTTTGATTTGCTAAGGAAAGAGCTTTAGTTTTAAATGCATATGCAAAAGGGGAAGAAAAGAGTCTAAAGGAGACTAGCCTATTTCTAATTCTAACGTCAACATACAATGGTAGCCCTACGATTTGGATTAATAAAATGGAAATATCTACCTAATGTTAGCATGCATGGTTTGCAACCTAAGGTCTAACTTGCATCTGAAGGGTGCGAGCATATCCTAAGGGAACATGGTATGGAAAGCGAGTGAACAAACAAGCTCGAAAGAGCGCACACATAAAAGAGTAAGGAAAAGAAACGAAATGATTTAGCCAAGGGGAGTGTATCACCCGAGACAAACAAGCGGGAGTGACATGAAAAAGAAAAATGTGATGTCAAAAGCGACTGAACACATAACCAAGATATAGGAGATCGAGGTAAGCGATAGAAGATAATATGAACGACCACTGAGTGTTAACATCGGCCAATCGAACTCCTGAAAATGCGTGGGGGTTCGATTACGGAACCTTTCTCCACTTGACGACTCGATACACAAGAGCAGGCACAACTCCGAAGCGTCATGGTGCGTCACGAGCTAAGGATGACACAGACGAAGTTGCGGGGGTTGATTGCTAACCCTCCATGCTCGCCTCATTTTGAGGACTTATCATCTGTACATATGCGGGCACAAATATAAACACACTTGCAGAATACCTACTCAAAGGTATGGTTTTAAACAACACACAAGTAGCAAACAGAATACACACAATGCGGAATTTCCCTAAACGATTATTTAAATAAACCAGAGGGGTTCCTGACATGATCAACAATGAAGACCCCCATCATACATCTCTACCCTACTTCTCATGGTATCAGAAAGCTGTAAAGCCCGACTTCTCATGATTTATAAAAAAGCAGTAAAGAAATGCAGTAAAGTGCGAAGAAGTACAAAGGTAGTAGCAGTGACTACCAAAGCGAGCAAATCGTCAAGAGCAGACGAAAGAACTAGAGAAGCAAGGAGTACGCGTCGAGCAAGCTTCACCAAGAAACAAATGTCAAAAATGATATCCAACTAAGATAAAGGCAAACGCGTATTGCGAATGCAACTTGTAATCATAAGTTCCTGCACAAAGCTCATAAAATATCACATGTATCAGGACCACACATAATATAATATGAATTTCTCAGGATGATGAGAAATAAGGTACGTCGCATCAGAAGCGAGCATAAGCCGTATGCCTCGATCACATGACAACTTGTTATGTCACATGATCGAAAGCATAAAAATGTACCTTGTACAGTGAACAAACACGTCAAAAATAACATGGCAAAGCGGCATGAAAATACGGATGAAAACAAGAAAGAAAAGTATTTTTATTATTAGTTTTTTTGTGTAAATAAAATTCTATCGAAAAAAAACTTAAATTAATTCTTAAAATTTCTATTAAAATCTACTATTTT